GCCTTGTGACTAAGTGTGTGTATCAGATCTATACTGTCAACAGCAGAACAAACTGTAAGAAAAAATGCACAGCAAGGAGGTTATTCTGTTGAGATGTTCTGGAGAGACTCTTTAACCACGGAAATGAAATCTGAGTTGCTTGTGGTACAGGGATAGTGAGTTTGCTAGAACAGCCCTTTTAAACATAGTTGCTTATTTATTTTTTATATCAAATGGACTTTTAAAAGCTTTGCATGGTGTTATAAAATGTCACTCATCTATTTCCCAGTCTTCTTAAAAGTAAGGAAATATATTCCACAGTCACAGGGTAGAGTCTAGCAGTGTGAATCCAAAATCACTTATTTCCACAAACATCACAGGGACTGGAATTTCTCTAACAGTTGACAGACTCTCTTTTAAGAATGGTATTATTTCATCAACTGTTTATTTCTAGATGTTATGAATATTCTGAATATCCTCACATTCTTATCCACTAAGAAACAAAGCTACTTGGAAACCTTGACTAGAAAGTTGTTTAATTTGTTTTAATTTGTTGCCCCAATAGGGATCTGGGCATATCGTAATGTAATTTTCAGTTCCAAGGTCTACAACTATCCTAAATAACTTGCAGATTCATGTCATAAAATGCTGGGGGGGGGTTTGGTTATTAATGTGCAGGGAAGAACTGCACAATTGAAAGACCCAGTTTGTTTTTAAATATTTCCCCTCATTTGTTTTTCTCTTTCCCTTTATTTGTTTCAACACAGAAGAAATTATGAGATATGGAAATGCTCAGGATCAGAAAAATAATTATGGCACTTTCATAGGTGCCGTACGGAGGTCACCAATCAAACTACAATATACATTATGAAAACAGTGGACTTATATGCAGCCTGCTGTCCATACTGCAGTTACAGAACAGAAATACACTTGCAATTCTTTGTAATATTTGTCTTTGATCAACTGCACACTTGTGTGATCTACAGAGATTCAGATGAATACATCCACAGATGCAAAATGGTGCTTTCTGAGTAATTCACAATACAACTGGAACACACACCAAATCCTATGAATGTTTGGGAAGGGAGTGGATCAAATTATAAATTAGATGTGAGCAGCCATTTAGAACACTAAACATTCCAATGTCGCTTTGCTAGAATAACTAAGGATTATAAAAAAAAATCTAAAATATTTGAATTGAGTTAATGTGTTATACAGTGATATTTTAACACACTTGAAAACAGCCCAAGAGTGTAGAATTCGTTCACGTGGTGTTAGTTCTCACAGTGCACAGGGAGATGCTGAGTGCAGCCTGTTGATGTGAAGATTTTGTTTGGCAGCGCTTTGGCAGTGCAGCAGCAGGAGCATTGAGGTCATGACGAGGCTCCTTGGGAACACCATTCATCGATGCTGCCAGCACTGACCAACTCCCCTGCCTAAGAAGCACCTTTAATGGGCTCTAAAGAGCAGCTTTTTATTGCCTACGTGACTGAGAGGGACACTGCTCCAGCCCGAGATCTCAGGGCTGAGGGACTGGATGGGGGAAATGGCTGAATATTCTGGAAAATATGGCACAGTTCCCCACAGCAGGATGCTTCTTTGCATCCTGCACTCTTGCACTGAAACATCAGAAGTTTCAAAACTACATGGCAAACCAAAATGAAGGGATAAAAGGAGGAGGGAAGGTTTGTGTTGTTTTCTTGTCATCAGCATAACCCCCTTCGGTGCTGAAGTTTCTCATGTGTCAGGAGATAAGAAAAAGTCACAGAGCAGGAAACACTGAGTAATGAGGACATTGGATCTGCATGTGACATGGCACTTTAGAAACCTCCTGGCTTTACATTTGTTTGCTTTGTTTGATGACAAAGAAACAATAAACCAGTTACATTTATATGAAAAGTGTGACATCCGGAGAAATGTTCCAGTGCAGGGTACAAGTTAGCTGTGCAAACACAATGCACAGCACAAGCAGGAAAACTGATATGTGGGTTTGAAAGACAGAACTCATAATAACCCTTGGCAGTAAATCATACTCTATATATTTTTCTTTTGTTTTTTTCAAGCAAGTTTTGTATGTAAAAGTGTCTTTACTCATATCATATTACATATAAAAAAATAAGATAACTTTGTGGTGTACATTTCCTTTATATGCTGTGCCTAAATTTAGGGTATATACTAGAATATATCTTTCTAGAAAACAGTACAGTATCACAGTTATTGTGCTAGACAAAACTCTTCTTCCTTCTACTTTTTAAGTCTTCTCAGTTCTTTTACTGCAATAGCTTTTGAATTTCCATCTCCTTTCAGACGAAATACTTGTTTCTCCCACTCCTTATCCTGCTCCTGGGCTGCATGATAATGATAATTATTTCACTTCAGAAAGGTCTGGCTCGATTGTCACTTTTGTATCACTTTCTTCATGACTCAGGAGTGAACCTCCTGAGGTACCCTGGAGTTAGAGGCAACTGTGTACTTGCCCATGACAACCTTTTTAAAATCAAATCCCTGTTTACTCTTAGAGATGAAAGCAGATATGAAATGAAAATTCAAATTTATTTGAATTATTCTGTACCATGACAGAAGTTGAGAAAAAAACCCTGAGGTCTAAGACTTTTTTTGAGAACTGAGAATCGTTCATCTCAACAGGAAGTTAGGACATTCAGGTGGGTTTACTACTGCTGTTCTCATGAACACTTAATTATTTGTATAAAGTGAGACATCTCCAAAAATTGGGACTCAAATATTTCAATGTAGAAGAGCCAGGATTTGAACTAATTTTCAAAAATCCAAGGAAAGTACTTACACAGCAAAATTATTATCCATCCTGATGGGTCTCCTTCTGTCAGAAAATTCTATCATGGACCAAGTACCTCTTCCAGTTAAAATTTTATTAAACAATATCCTTAAAAATTGGTTAATTCCTAAGGAAAAAGTCCACACAACTGTAAGATTCCCCAATGAGTTCTACTCAAGTATTGGTCTGTTTTTCTGCCTCCACTCCTTTCAGCAAGGCTCAATGACAGTTTTCTCTCTTCAAATATGGTCATGACATTTCTTGTCCTCTGTTCACAGTGTTTTCTAACTTTTTCATAGCCCTTTTGAGCTTTGGCTCTCAGCCTTCACAAACAAACTATGCAATGCATCTGGAATCAAGGAAGAAAAGACTGCATAATTATTAAGTTAAATATTGTCTCTGACCCTTACAAATAAATTTTTCATCTGTTGCCTTTCCTGGTTATTTCCCAACCACCTGCTATTAAGTTAAACAGATATGGGTGAATACTCATATTCAAACAACCTGTAGCAAGCATTCGTAAATTATTGCAGGAAAACTTCCTGCCTCCCTAAGAAAGGCAGATGTAAATTCACTTCTCTTGGAGACCTAACCTCTGACGGTGTGTGTCTCTTTCCATGGTCACTGATGACCATTTGTCATCAGGCCCTCAACAAACTTTAAAAGAGCAGAGGTATTTTGCCTCCCATTATTTCTAGGGATTTGAATTTCTAAATGATTTTGTCTAAGAACCGTCAGACACATTAATGCAATTTCTTTTGTTTAAAACTTGATGGTCTCAGCGTCAGTTCTGAGTTGACACATATGAAAGCATTAACTTCTATTATAGGCCAAGATCCATTAAAGAAGCTGAGACACATCTGAGCTATTGCAAACTGTCTCATTTTTCTGTTCCCTCAACATTTCTCTGATTGTACTATTACCTCATTCCTTTTCTGATGATTGTCAGCTGTTCGTTAATATAAAATTAAAGGTGAAAATACTGCTATACAACATAGCAACACTAAAAATTGAAGCCACAGAGCATTGAACATGAAGACAGCAGCAATGTAAACTTCAAAAACCACGGCATATTTATATAGAGCTTCATGGAATAAATGGTATTTTATGCTCCACACCATTTGGACCTCAATCTTTCTTCTGGCAAGCTGTTATTTTTGTGAATCGTTCCAAAGCCATTTATAACCAGGCCAATGCACCACTGACAACAGCACCTTTGAAGTCAGGTAGGGATTATTCATTTGCTGTGAATTTTCTGAGGAGCTTTATCCTCTTTCCATACACAGCCATTAAAAATCAGAGGCAAAAATAAAGGTGCTAGTCAAAAAAAAGTAAGCTATCAAACTCTCTGGTTCGAGAGAGTTTGGTTTCAGATGAATTCTGGGCAGTGTAAAAAGCCAAATGAATTTTTAATGTAGAACCTTTAATTTTTAATGTGGAACATGAGGGGGTTTAGGGTTCCTGAAATGCACCTTCCAGGGCCGTGAGATCCAAGCACACCCAAAAACCCAGAACTCTGGAAAACAAGCCCACGGGTTCGTACAGCCACCCTTGGGGACACATTGAAGGGGAAAATCACGACTTTTAGTGCAATTTTTAGCTCTCCATGGAAGACCACATGTGCCGGTGCGTGTGCGTGCGTGTCACTTCCCTACAAGAATAGACTGCGTGTATCTATATACATGTTGTACGTTAGGAGGAATTTCTCCACAGGAAGGGTAATTAAACATTAGAACGGGCTGCCCAGGGAGGTGTTTAAGTAAGGACTGGGCGAGTCACTCGGTGCCGTGATCTGGCTGACGAGGTGGTGTTCGGTCATACGCCGGACTCCATGATCTCAGAGGTCTTTTCCAACCTAATTGATCCTGTGGTTTTGTTATACACACAAACTGATATAAACTTTAGGACTGGAAACGCCTTGCGCTGGGGGGTTCAGCGGGGCAGCTGTGAGGCGACCACCGGGGTCCGCTGAGCCCGGGGCTGGGGCCGCGGCTGTGGGAAAGTCTCGATGGGGGCGGCTGAAGGGAATCATCCTGCCCGGGCCAGCTCTGAAAAGGGCCTCGGCTGAAGGTGCGGGATAGCAGAAGGGCTGCGGGGAGCGGAGACCGGAGGAACGACCAGGAGCGGCCTCGGGTCGCCCTCGGTCTCTCCCCGCCTCACGGCCGCCCTCGGGCTTCCGGGCGCATGCGCGGACACCGCCCGCTCCGCCGAGCGCGCAGCGGGAGCTGTGGCGGCAGCGCTGGGACACCCCGGCCCGGCACTCCCGGCCCGGCTCCGGAGCCTCGCCCGGGCGGCAGCGGTGAGTGCGGAGTGTCCGCTGCGTGTCCGCGGAGGGGAAGGGGCTGCCCGGCGAGGGGAGCGGCCGGGGCGGTGCCCGGCGGGTGCGCCCGGGGCGGGGGTCCCCTGTGGGGGCTGCGCGGGGAGACCCTCGGAGGGGAGCGAGGGTGGAACGTGTGCCGGCGCCTCTCGCCGAGCTCCGGGAACCGCCCGGGAAACTTCTCTCACGGGGTTTGTGCCGTTTCCAGTTAAGCCGGGGAGGAAATGTGTGGACTGTAGCGAACAAAGGAAGAATCCTGCGGAGTTTGTCTTTTGAAAGAGATAGTGGCTGCCTCCGAGACTGGCAGCTAATACACTTTTCTCTGAAGTTTCAAAAAACGCCACCACCAGAACAGACCCACGGCCATCTGAAGTTTTCGTATTCCTGTTAAAACTCTGTGCACTTTGGGCAGGATCACCCACAGACCCCGCCCGTGTTTGGGCTGCCGTGCCCGGGCAGGGCTTAAGCCGGGAGATGCTGGGGATGGGAACGGGTGTTTGGGGAACGAACCTGACCCCCGACCCGGGGTCTCATGGACCCTCTCCCCGGCCTGGAGCTGGGTCTCATGGACCCTCTCCCCAGGGCAGAGGCAGCCTCGGTGTCATCACAGTTGAAACTGGGATTCAATGTTGCATTGGTTGAGGGGTGAGAGAGCAGGCGGTGGCCAAGGCTTGTTGGGAACGAAACGGAGAGGAACGGGGCCAGTGAAGAACACTAATTTAAGTTTTCATAGATAAGTCCGGGAAGAGAAGTGGGACAGTTATGCAGATGTTGGTGTTCTAGATTAAAATCAAGACTTTACATTTTTCATTACTATTGGCTGTTGCTATCACTGAAGTCGTGCTTTTTCTGCAGCCTGGGCTGCTGGTTACCACTCTCTGTACCATTCTCTCCCCATGCTTGGCACCATTGTTTGTGCAGCAATGGGGTGAAGTGGCACAGAGCATTACCCACAGATTCAGTGACCTTACAAACACTTTCTGATTAACCTAGTTAGTGATCACGTCTGTTTCTCTGCACTGCCATAGGAGAGTTTATACTGGCTCAAGGAAACGTGTGATGTGGAGGGAAAGAGTTTATTTTTGTCGTACATAAATGAGTAGGTATGTATACAAATTTTTTTTTTTTAATGCATAAACATAGGCAGAGACAGACCTGTGTAAAGGGGTTGTGCAACTGTAATGTTGAGCATTCTGGCTCGTGTGTTTAACAGAGGGAGTGCCATTGATAAAGCACTTGTGGGGGAGGTTTACAAGTGCAAGAGGTGACAAGCAGTCTGAGGAGCCTTAAGCCAGTAAAGGTGAGTGAGATTGCAAGAGTAGTTCTTGCTGCACCAGGGGAATGAAATTAGAAGCCAGAGAAGAGGGGACAGGGGATTTATGTGTGAGAGTACTGCATGGAAACAAGAGTGAGATTTTTAGTCATGTGTTCAGCCATCTCATTTCACCTTCTCTTAGGCTAGAAGACTTTATTTCTCAAAACAGATAAGGCTAGAGGCTGGGATTCCTGAGTATCTGTTTTCTTGGAATTAGCAAATAACAAGAAATCCCTTGGTGAAACATCCATTTCTCACACAAGTTCATCCAGAAATTTGTCCAACTAATATATTAGCTCAAAACAGCAAAGCATTGCTGGTTATAATGCAGGTGTTGAGATTATAACTTGGTGACATCAATTTTCTTTCATTAGAAGTTGGTAGTTGCACACAGTCACAGTAACTATACTAATAGTGTCATCTCTGGAATGACTCAAAAATGGAGACCTGAAGTTCTTAAGTTAGCTTTAATTCAGTCTCTTCGTACATCTAGATTAAATTACAGTTTTCTATTAAGTAATAACATATAGTTTATTGCGTGAAAAATCCTGTTATACTCAAGGTATTAAAGAGATGAAGTATTTTGGTCTCATCCTCATTAATTTGGTTGTGTGACGTCGAGACATTTTCTGAATGTGACTCAAATCTGCATCAAATTCTGCTTTGACTGTGGAATTGCAAATTTCCCTATGTCTTCTGTTGTACTTATCACCTTAGTATCTCAGTACTTGACAAATTCCCCCCTTAACTGACAAAACTCTTCTAAGACAAGGAAATCATCCTCCCATTCCACATGAAGAATGAAAGACAAAATTATGGAGACCAAATTTGGTCCAGGTAGGATCTGATCTTTTTCAGGGCATTGAGTTCAGTGTCCTGGCTTATATTAAGTATACGGGTGCAAATAAATTTTAATATCTGGTCTAAGCTTATGCTGCTTTTGCAGATCAAGAACCCAGATTTTGGGAGAGGCATCCCTAAAAAAGATGTATGTAGTTGGTACCCACCTCAAAACAGCATTTTTAGGTAATTTTCTAGAGTCATGAATACATTCTCTGGCAAAACCAGGATAAAATATACTTCAGGACACTGCTAACTTATTTTAGAAGACAATATTGTGAACATTTTTGTTTTCTCTGTCATTTTAAACAGCTTTTCCTGTGATTGTCTTGTCCATCATTTTGTTCTGCCTACCTCTGTGACCTCCCTCAATTGTGATAGTGTAACCATTTCCATATTCATCTGATGAGGCAGATCACAGAATTAATCAGGTTGAAAAAAACCTTATCTGACTTACTTTTACTCTTTCCTGGCTCTTAGAAGCACCTGGATGAGCAGGGGACAAGAGAGGTGGTTGATACCCCTTATCCCAAGTGTGAGTACTGGGAAAAACCTAAGCCATTTTGCCCTTCCACTTCCATTATTCCAGTAAATCTTCTGTGCTTCATTTCTTCCCATTTACTCAGCAAATGACACCAGATTTTCTATAGGCAAGACTTTTAAATTTTTTGGCATATCCTGTTAACAGCTTTTGCTTTCAGTTTCTCAACTCAATCCTGAACTTTGCTGCTGGTTTTCATCCTTCTCCTTCATAAATTCCCATCAGCTGTGTTTCCAGGATGCTGCCTTTCTCTGGCTGGTGTTTCTTTAATGGTTGATTTGCTTCAGCCTCCAAAGACAATCTGATTTCTTCCCCCACCCTTGCTTCCTTTCCTCTTCCACATTATAAACAAAAGCACTTGCATTATGCAGTAGAGAACCTTACAGAGCTGGCAGGGGAGTGGACTGAATGACCTCATGTCTGGCCTCTGTTCTCCTGCCAGCTATTTTTGAGTTCAGATGTTGGTAACTATTTGACCTTTTAAAATCTAATCTGACAATACCCAGCCCTTTCCTTGTTTACTTTTGTTTGGTTTACTGATTCTTGTTAAACAAAATTTGATGTGCATTTGTGAGGTGTGAAATACACTTAACCCGTTCTTTCCTTGCCAGCACTTTTGATGGTACTGATTATCAAGTAATCTGTGTTTTAATCAAGGTTGCTGAATACCATTATTAAAGTAGCTACATTTCAATATGAAGCCTGTCTTCATACTGGAAATTAAAGAAATTACATCCTAACCACCTAAAATCACATCATGGATTTTGGCTTGCTTAGCAAACATATTTGTTGAGAGATGTTTTATATGTATTTCAGGCTATCGCTTATAATTAGTTAGATAAGCATTATGTAAAATATCTTTAATTTTTGATAAAAATTAGGCATCTGTTCAGAAGTAAATATGTAAAATCAGACAAGAAATATATTTGCACAGCCCAACATATTGGAGCTAGCATGCAGGGCTGAGATTCCTGGACAGTATAGTAGCACAAGTGCTGCCTGTTTTCAAACCAACAATGCTGCTTTGTGTAAATATTTTTTTTGAAACTAAGTATCTTGACATGGGGGAGAGACAGATTACTGTGCAATTGCATCTTGAAAGATCTTTGAGATTCCTTGCCTTTAACACATTGCACTGTGTTGTGTACCTGCTCAGGGGGGTGTTTCATATAAAGTGTTGAATCGGCCTTCTCATGTCACTTTTGAAATGACTTTTGAAAATTGTCATCTCCTGTTCTAAGGTAACACACTCAACATATTTCCAGTTTTTCATTTAGTAGTTAGTCTGTACCAATATGATTACTCCCAAGAGTGGTCAAATTAAGTGATGCTAAAATCCAGAGAGACCATGTGAAGTGTAGGATTGGAGTAGTTTATTGTAGATTAAGCTTCTTAATCCTGGTGAAGTACTCATTTTATTGCCTGAAACTGCAGAACATCTATTTTTTCCAGAACTGTAGGGTAGGTGAGATTTTTCTATTTGTTTGTTTACACCAAGATGTTATACCCTTTTGTTGTAATTCTGGATGTTTCTGTTTTGCTGAGCTCTTTGTGTTCCTGTAGTGTAACAATGGATGCCATGGACCAGTTTCAAGACTCACTTTACAGCAATTCCTCATTAAAATCCCAATCACTAAATTAACTGTTAACTGCCTAAACTGCAATATTTATAATAATTAGCTGTATTTCTAAATGTTTCCTACTTGGCATTCAAGAATTACTCAAAGTGTGAATTTGTTTGCTCACTGCTGTGAGGCAGTTTATGGAATTCTACCAGGAAAATTCATGAATGGTTGATTCATCAGACAGGTGAACTTTAGCACCTGGCTGGACCCCCAGGTTTATCAGTGAGCTGTTGACTGACCTTGTGTGTATTCTTCAGCTTTTATTTGCAGACTTTTACTCTTCAAACTATTTGCTCAATAAACCTGGGGGGAGAAGCAACTTTCTGGTTTAACTTTCAGTCCCTTGTTCATTCTCACGGCTACGGGGAAGGACTAAATGAGGTTTCAGCAGCAGGATTATGAGCTAAACCTCTTGCTGCTCTTCCTGTAGATTTCTCCCGTGGCAGCTGAAGTTAGCACGGTCCATGACATTCCATTGCAATACTGCTGAGCAGCTCTGAGCATCAGAAATGCAACGGACTCACTGCACTACTTTCTGTTTGTTACTGTTGGTTGTCAGAGCTGTGGACAGCAGCAAAATAAAGGCATGGCACACAGTGTGTGGCTGGATAAGAAGCTTAACTGATCTAAGCTTCTCCTGCTGCCTGAAAACAGGAGTTCTTCCTTTTCCACTCCATCCTTGCCATGTTTTGTGTTTTGACTGCTTCCCTTGTGCTGGCACTAGCACTCTCAATGCTCTGCAGTCGACTGAACCAGGGAGCTGATTTGTTTTATTGCAAAACAAGCATCCTGACACACATGCACACAAAAAGCTTTTCCACTGGGTGCTGCCAGCCAGAACTTGTACTGACTCGGTGGAGGGAGTCTGTGTGTCTGTGTGTGTGGGACCACCTTCTCAGACAGAGCTTTAGCTGGGATTGATCTGAGTGCTGACTCCAGAACCATCAGAGAAGCAGCAGGGTATCAGTGTCTTCCTCTGCTGACGTCTTTGAAGAACAGCAGCAAACTTCTCAAGAAGGAAAGTACAAGGAAATCCCTCAAAAAGACCAAGAACCCGGTGAACAGACCCTGAGCTCAAGCTCAGAAAGAGAGAAGAAAGGTGAACAAACTCTTCCTTCATGGAAAGGCCGTTTAGGGTGAACTGTAAAGAAGTGCCCAACTACAAGTGCCAAAAGCTCATCTGTAGTTGTCTCAGATGGAAGTATCTAAGCACTTTCACTGTGGCCATTCTTAGGAACCCTTGGCAAAAGTTTGGTCAAAGTTTTCATCTCAGTGTAAGAAAGAAAATTTTTTTTACACTGAGATCAGTCATTCACTGGAACAACCTGCCCAGGACATGGTGAAGTCCCAATCACTGGAGGTTTCTAGGATGTAGCTGGACAAGGATGGTAGATAACCTCAACAGGGCTCCCTTTCCACAGAACATTGGACCAGACAAATCTTTTGAGCTTCCTTCCAACCTGGGCTGCACTATGATTCTATGAAATTTTGTGTGAGTGAAGTGATCTACACCAGAAACGCAAAAGGTGGAGATGCACAAGCTGACAGGCAGCATGTCTAGGATTTCTCCAATGACTTCTTCAGTGAACACACAAATGAATGAGTTACCAGATCTAAAAAATAGCAGTGATGTATTTCTTCTTATTAGAAGACTCCTCCAGGTTTTCTGTGTGGAGAGTTTCCACGTGTTCAGCTTTGTGGAGGTGTGGGGGAACACCCTTTGAATCTTCCAAGAATAAAATGTTAGACATGTTAGATTCTGTAGAGAATCTGTCAGTTGCAAATAAAATTTTCAAGGGCTAACTTTATTTTCATTCTGTGTATACTTTTGACACAATTAAGATAAATTATGTCTTCGAATAGTTGATTGCACACACACAGATTTGACACATTAATTTGGCATATTAGTGTTAGGAACTTTAATATGTGTAAAATTTTTTTATTCTAAGTCTTAAAAAGATTTCTAAAGCGAACATCCTCTACATTGTTTTGTTACATATTTTCTTGTGCTTTACTCAGGCAGAATGGATATTGTACTGAATCACTTCATAAGGAGTAGAAGAGCAACAGTAGAGTTATTGTTTTAGTTTTGGGAGCTACACTTGTGTTTTCACAGTGCTGAAAAACATGGAAAACTCTTTTTATAAGTATGACCTGATACTGGTAGTTCTGTGACTGCTGGAACTCATGCAGCTTTGTTTTGTATGGATTTGTGCTGTGTGATTGATCAGCTCTGACTTAGATCTTTACTGGGACATTTATTTCTTCATAAATGACAGTTTGAATTAGATGTTAAGTCATCTTCCAGTCTTCTCTTGAGCTACGATGTTCAGAATGCCTCCATCCTCTAGAGCAGTGTGCTTTCTTTAGGAAAACTTCTGTGAATTTAAGGTTTTCTGCTGTTCTGTAGTAATTGATTGGAAAGGGCCAATGAGTAAAGTTGTTGGACTAGAGGACAACACAAAGCCCTTATTACTGAATGCAAACAATCATGAAATAGAAAAACTGTGTTAACACCCTTTGAAAAGAAATGCTGTTGATGTTTTCAGTTTTTGCATTTTTAGTAATTCTTACAGAATTACACCCATTTAAAATAAAAATTCATCCTTGACTTCAGTCTTACGAAACCAAATGTAATCTATGGCTGCAAGGTAGCTAAGGAGGGATGCAAAACTAGCTCCTCTGGAAAGTTCACATTTCCTTTCTGCTGCTGTTCTAGAGAGGAAGGGGTAGAGGAAGAGAGGTTGGTGGGAGAGAGGCAAGTCTCTGGTGCAGAGCACAGAACTGCATCAGCCCATCAGAGGGCTGATCCTCAGTAAAGAGTGGGTATCTGTGGCAGGAAAGAGGTAAAATTCCTTGGCTCCTGTTCAAGGCTGAAGCCAAAACACCATATGTTTGAGATGGAGTATTTTGTGTGTAGGTTTGTTCCAATCCTACTCAGAAAAAATGAAGTGCAATGTGTGTATAATGTGTGTATCTTAATGTATTTGGAAATCCAGGTAAAGTTGATGTAAGGGGTAATGGGTGTGGGTGTTGAGAGAGGGAAATAATAGTATTTAAAACATTTTTTCCGTGTTTTGTAGGGCTATTTACCCTTCTGCTTTACTGCAGCTGTTCTTTGGATTCTAGTGGTGTACAACTTTAGTGCATTCTCTTTATGCAATTTACCAGTGTGACAGAAAATTTAATAAAATCTGTAAAGGAACTGTGCCTCATTATCTTTTCCCTAGTTACCATATAATTCAATAAGATGAAAAATGTGTTTATGACTCTTTCATAACTTCTATGCAATTTGATTTTTGGTTGACTGGAAAATCCCATTAAAACATGCTCTGAAATGTAGTCATATATGCATTGCTTCAGGGGAGG